TAAAATTCTGCTTATTTTATAATTGTACTCGGTGGATGGAATAAACTATTTAAAATATGACAATTTCTTGAGGTACCTAATAAATATTTTTTTGTAATAAAAATATCATGTTATAAAAAAAATTGTTATTTTATAATAACTTATGTTTGTGTATAAATATTTTCAAAAACGTACGATATACCTTATGCAGGTGTGAATACCACATATATACGTATGTTTGTGTGGTGACTAAGACTGATCACTCCAATGAAAAAAAAGGTCCTGAATTCCTGACAGGATATACAGATGGGTACTATATAGTTGTTAGATTTCACTCAATTCGTCTTAAGTCATATTAATAGAAACATCATTGTTTATATCAATGTGATACATCTGAATGATATATTATTCAGGTAAAAATTGTTTCTGTGCTTGGTTTATCCAAAAATGATCCAGACTCGTTAAAATTCTGACCTGCTAGGGTGGGGTTTTATTCAGTATTTTCTTTAAAGTTTTGTGGCGAAAAAAAGTATTTGAAAAAACAGTTATATAATAGAACACCCCCAGCAGGTCAGGATTTTAACGAGCCTGGATCATTTTCGGGTAACCAAGCAATGACCTTTCTTAAGTAGGTATTTTATTATAATCTGTGTTCAATTTGAAAGCAATTGAACGAGATGCATTATATAGTATGGCGTTACGCCCAAAAATGCGTTTTCAAAAGAAATAAACAGAGTATAAAAAAAACAGAACGACACATATTGTAAAACCAATAGACCAGCCCCAGCCATCCCCACATTCCGATCTGAAATAATATGTTTTTAACCCAAAGGTCAAAACGATACACTTGTAAAAAACATTAAAAATTCAAGATAAGAAACACAATCATTCGTTGTCTTCGTACTTACATAATATTGTATCATTTGACATTAAAATAATTTATGTGCAAGGGAACAAGATATTTTTATTAAAAATACTCTCAATCTTCTTTTTTTGTGAGAGAGCCGATCGACCGTGCAGTATCCAATTATATTAATATTACAGCCATAATTCATTTTTATCGAGCAGAGAAAAGTGACGGAATCGTTTATAGAACTTACAATTAGTATGAAATAATTATAGTATTATGTATAATATTATACATTTCCTTTTAAATCATGGAATAAATGCATTAAAAATGCAAAAATGCAATTGACTGATGTGATAGTTTAATGAATTCTGAGTGAGTAAAACAATTAATATGTGAAAAGTTAATTTGATAGCAAAGAAACTATAACAATAAAATCGAAAACAATCCTATTAAAACACACAATCATTCCGATATGGGACAATTTAAAAAATGATAAAAAAAACAAAATAATAATATGTGAACAATCTCAAAAATCCAGAAATTATAAAATAAAGTTATAAAAAAACAGTTTAAATTTCTCTTCTTCGTATTTCCCATAATAACACGTTTTTAATTGTCCCTATTTTATTCCTGTAATTTTGTTAAATGTATGCAAATGCTTGCTCCATTAGTAGTTTGGGAATTGGTATGATTGTAGGAATAAATGAAAAACTCATCAACCTGTATTCACTCTCCAGTACCTAAATTAAGTATAATATTCCAGTACGATTATTTTAATAATATTATTATATTTATTAGTTCTTGTAATGATATTGCGTTGGGTATGTATTTTAATATTTGTCCTAAAACATTCATCATCATTTCGTATAAAATATTTTATAGAGTCTTATCTTCAAAACCGTCATCTAATTTAATAATAGATGCTATACCTAAGAAAATAATGTACAAAATAAAATATAGGAAAAATACCAATTTAAGTAATTTAATGCAATTTAATTTTTGTGTTAAGAAATGTAAAATTAACCTATTTTAAATCGAATTAATGTAACGCCAGCTAATATAACCACGCAGTTGATGCTCTAGAAAAAAAAATCATAAATTCGATCGATTTGTGTGTTTTGTAAAAACAAGATTTAGTTATTAGATCAACTACTTACAGGGAAAAGTAAATGTAGGTTTCGGGTAGACGTTTATTTTAAAGTACCTAATAAGATAAACTGGCCGTATCTATTGTTATCGTACTCCACCTACCAAAACAGATGTTGATGTCTGCGCACCCCTGCAGTGCGCAGTATTGTACGCAGTGTATTTTTCGAAATCGGGAAAAATCCGAAATGACTTTTATCGACGGCCACGATGATGAAAAAAAAAACAAAAAGTCAGAAAACGTTTTGGATGTTTTATGAAAAAACGTATGGGAGCAGTGTATATTTCATAGTCACCGCGTGTGCAGTGTTATCTATGTACATACATATATATATATATATTGTGTATTTAGGTGAGTCGGGATCGGATTTCTAGTGAATGCTCATTTGTTCGTAGACGGTACGTATTCGTACGATATTGAACAATTTGACTAATGTACGTGCGCGTTTTCACAGAAGGAAAAAAGTTTGAAAAAAAAATAGGATGAAACATGTGGCATTTATTACACCGTTCTCTGTCGTCGAATCGGATAAGGTTTCACGCGAAATTATCTATATACGCGCGTGACACCATCAAAATCGAACGAAACCTCATACTCGTCACACGTGCGCGGTGCAGCGGTGTTTGTTCGCCATGAGAGAGACGTTTGCTCGAAAAAATTTACGGCTTGTGTAAACAGGGTGATTTTTAAGCACGATCCCCTCCCTCCAATTTGTACGTGCTCATATCCATGGGTAAGTCTAAGCAATTATTCAAATTCTGATTTCAGGCAGTCGTAATCTAATAATATTACCGTTTACAGTCGCCAAATCGGATAAGGTTTCTCGTAAAATTATCTAATCGCCCGCAACACTATCATAATCAAATGAAACCTCACCCGTCACACGTGCTTGGTGATGGTTCGCCGGGTGAGAGACGTTTAAACGAAAAAAATTCATGATTTATGTATACAGAGTGATTTTTTAAGCACGATCCCCTCCCCTCAATTTGTACGTGTTCGTATCCGTGTGTGAACGTATGCAATAATACATCAAATTTTGTTTTTGGCAGTTTTATACTAATAAAATAATATAGTAGAGCATATTCTCAAATATACTTACAGATTTTTTCGGCATTTATAGATTATTGTTTGCCATAAATTCATGATACATACAACGAATTGTTTTTTTTTTAACGAGAACATTTTCTTCTGGAATCTTCTGTGATTTTTCATAAGTAGACAAATTGTTGAGGAGTCACTTGTTTAAAAAAAAATTTTTCGTATCGCCACAGGATTGTTAAATATAGGAATGCATAGTGAAGCATATACAAATGGGATAAACTCTCTAAAAAGATCACTCTGTATACGTGCATTGATATAAATATATATGTTTATCAATATTTGATGCATTATATATATATTTGGCATGCAAATATTACGCAGCGGTACCTATACAATTGCTGCAAAATCTGTTGAAATGTTATTGGCGTCAATACGCGACACGCTCTTCAATTATTGTATCAATAATATGACGTACCTATATAATATATTAGATTAGGTCAATCGATTATTTTACACTTTGGACCTTTTGAGGGGATTATAATCTGATTTATAAGCAAAAACTATTTTCAAAAATACGTCGATTGTATACAATCAACAAATGAAATAACAATCACCTACTGTGATAATCCCGGTTTCGAGTTCCTGGATGGCTAGACAACACTACAACTGAAGCCTGCAGGTCCTGTGGGCTTCCTTTTATTATTTTTTACACAACCAACCGGAGTTTTTACAAACACCGCAAGATAGACTTTAACCTAAAATATATACTATTGTCGTTCAGGTAGATTCTACCTGGTAGAATATTAAAAGGCAATGCTGTAATGGTGTAAGCATAACACAGTGATACTTTTTAGTTTAACACAGAGCATAATATTTGGTAATTTTTAAATGAAAAATAGAAATAATAATTGTTTGTATTCAATTTGTCTTTTTATTTAAATAATCATCAGCAATTTCCTAAATTGTTTTCTGTCGTATAAAAACAGTCAACATTTTTATGAACAAATCGATGAATACAAATAACGAGTATATTGAAGTAACAATTTTATATCTTTTAAAAACATTTATAGTTTAGACGAGTGCTGTAGGAGCAGTTGAAGTGCTGCACGACATCGCAGGGTATTACCTGCTGTCACCTCATACCTAACTCTTGACTAAACTTTAAATGCATAAAAAAATGCTGCTTCAATATTTGATATTCATATTCGTCGACATTTCCATAAAAATACTGCGTTTCGGAATATAAAATTAAAAATATCACCCATCACTCATCACAAAAAAATATATATTGTATTTTATATATTATATTACATGATAAATAATCTAATAACTATACCAAGAACTCAGAAGGCCATAATCTTGATAAAAAAATACTAAATACTAAATAGTCATATTTACGTTAGATTTTTTTCATGGAAATAATACTTTGATTGGGATAACGAGTGTTCTGCTTAAGAATAACCCTCTCACTATGTGTATGCAAATAAGTATATAAAATTAAAATTGGAAATAAAAGTAGAATTTTTTTTAAAAATTGAATACTTATAAAATTGGGTGAGTTATATTACTTATACTTTTAAAAGATAAGTTAGTTGCAAAATAAATAAAGAAGAAATTAATTCTCTGTTTTTATTTACAAACATGTATTTGGAAATTGTATATCTACCTACGTAATTTGGGTAGAAAATCTTTTTTGTTTATAGCTCACACTGGATTTGTACTTGCAGAATTGGTTTTAAATTATGATGTTCAAACGAAGTTTTGAAGATGGCTAGTCTGAATAGATGAATAATTTATACTCATTGATTGAAGGCATTTAGAAAATAATAGTGTTGTATACATTGCAAACTCATTTCGTGTAACATCAAAACATTGCATTGTCTTATGGAATTACATTCCGCATTATAAGTAGAAAATAAGAACCCTGCAGGTACCTAGGTACACAATATTATAATATTTAAATAGTTAAATAATATGGTTTACCTTGATGAACCTGGGGAACCGGAGTATGGGGTGCACGCCGATCTTTAGTTGTATTAGATCCAGTGGCGTGAGCGCTATGAGATCGAACAGGAACGACCGGGACCGGATGTAATGACCGGCCAGCTTGCTGGTATTGTACACCATCAGGCCTTGTTCCAGGTAGCCGGTGCGGAACTGGACGGCTACGTCAAGCAGGAACACGATGTCGCTGAACGCGTCCATGGCCGACCACCACGGGGAAGCCATGCGCTGCAGCTCGGGCAGGCTTTGCCGGACGATGGCCGTCCACAGGTTGTACAGAGTGCAGCCCGTCAACACCATTAGCCAGTTGAAGTAGAAGTTCTCGTCCGGGTTGACCACGGACCACGGCAGTTTGTTTTGCTTCCGGCGCAACCGGCGTTTCCGGCGAACGTACTCGATGTTGTCCTGCGAGCCGGAACTGCATTCGCCGTCATCGCCGGTGTCCAACGTCTCCTGAAAAATCAAGTCCAATGTAATCAATAATCGCGACGACGACAGTGGTTATCAAGGTGCAACTACTGTTATAGCGGTATATATATAATTATAGTTATATAGTTTAATAGTTATGTTATTACTTATTGTATATTAATACATCGTTTACCAATCGATATAGGTGACCTATTACGTCATAATCGTCTGGCGCGTCGTCGAGCGTCTACTGGCTTGTAATGTATATAGGTGCACTGTAGGTATGCACGCATAATACGTATACTACACCATTTGCAGCGATTTACATATTAATATAAGAGAAGACTACGCTGAAATGTCGAGATTAAAATATTTTCTATATTGATTTATATATTATGTACAAGAAGTATGTAATGGTCCGGATATTGTATTAAAAAGTAAATTCGTTCAGGAGCGATGTTAAAATATTTTTAATAAGAAACACAAGCTTAAAAATTATTACCCAAACACGTTCTAAAATTATAGACTCATCTCTTCTCCTGTAAAAGCCGATATGAATAAAACATCTGGGTTTTGTATTACTTTTATATTATTATATATTTTTTTTTCACTTAAGATATTTATATTATCCAGTATTACGAAAAACTTAATGAGACGCCATTTATTTGAAGTAAACGTTTTTGTAAAAACAAGTTTTGGATTATTAATAGTATATTCGCAACACAATATAATATTAGGTCTTAGTAATTTAGTTAGTAAAAAAATACTGTTGAAACAAATTTAAACTGCATTATAATATTTTGAATGTTCCTATGACGCAACACAACAATAACAAATTTTATTTTCGAAAGGCTTTTTTCAAATTATTTTTATCTTGCTGTTTACCTTTCATACGTTGTAATATATTGAAAGGTTTATTTTTTTACGTAAAATCACGGATGACCTAAATCAAATTTTGTGCACTTTTATACATAAAAACAATAATATCATCAATTAAATGCCTAGGTAATATATTTTTTAATTTATATTCGTTTACAAGGATAGTAAAAATTATCCATAATTAATAAACGTGTCGGAATGTTCAACGTTTTGAAGACATAGTGTCTGACGTCTGTCATTGTTTTGAGTTTTACCTTTTCTACTGTGTTAACCGTAATAAACCCTAACAACAATACAAACGATTATAATATTATGATTAACAATAACCATATTATTAACTTTTGTTCCAATTGAATAAATAAATTTAAGTAGTCTTAAATATAATATTTAAATATACAATTCAATATAATAACATAATGTATAATCAAATATTATATAACTATTATTGAATTCCAGTACATTATTGTTATGAATTATCGGATAAATTTAAATTTAAATGTACACAATTAATTGTTTAATTTAATGAGATACCTACTTATACATATTTGAAGAGGATTCTGAAACAGCTTACAATTTAACGCGTGGAATCATGTAATATGTATTATGTGTGTATTGAAATTGAAATACATTTGGTGAAGTAAGATCTAAAAGTGCTTGAGTACATACAGACAGAAAAACCAATTAAAAGGTGCTAACCAAACAGAGACGCGGAAATTCTCCATCAAACTAAATTAAAAGTAATGCCACCCGTGAGATCATTGTTCGCGGAACTAGTGTTATAAGCCACAACGAAAAAAACTGAAAAATCTTCAAAAATAAAAGTGTAAGTATTTAATAATTGTGAGTTTTAAAAGTCACTTGAATTGAGTAAAAGTACTTGTTAAGGCGATTTGGCATATGCTGCAGCAAGTGTAAGTCACACTATTAAAAAGTTGTCGAGTTTCTTCTACAAAATGCTATAAAATTTATACTCATACGGTGTTTAAAATTAAATAAGATGACGTAAGATAAGTATAATTCGTGAGCTTAAAAATAATAATTACCTCAACAATAATCAATTTCCACACGTGTAGAATGTACATAGAGTATCAGATCTCAACATTTTTGGGATTTGGACGAGGGCGCAGTAAGTTATGCACATTATAATATTGAAATTGCTTTTACTCTAAAGAAAAATTTGTTCAGAACAATAGCAAAAACAATTATTAAAATGATACTGTTTTCTTTTACCAAAAACCAAAAAAAAAAAAACAACTAATAATTTTAATGGCCTAGTTTAAACAGCTTAAACACATATTATACCTAATCCCTAGGCCTTTGTCATTTTTGTCGTATTGATTGAGTTTCAATTGTATAAAACTGTATTAAATTAACTTGTTTCGATTTTCAGTATGTAGCCATAACATTTAATTAGAGAATAATACAATATTTATATATTTATTGTTCAATATTTATATAAACAGTAAGTTATACAAGTTTCTTTGATTGTTAAAAATAAAAATAATAAAGACTTTTGCGCTATATATTAATATTATATAATTTATCCCTCTTGACGAAAACAATAAATTATGTACTATCAATGGTGGCTTCATGTATTTTAATGTAAATGTAGCCGGAAATGTTGACATTTAGGAAACGATGACAATTTCTAATGAAAGAAGGAAATTATACCATTTCTTAACGATATCAGGCCAATGATACCATACACATTACTCAATAAAATAATTACAATATAATATATAAATATTATATTATATTATATTATAATATAAATATACCCGTGAGGATATACCCATTAGCCGTAGAGGGGATTCGCCGTCCGTACAAAAACCGGTTTTTTGCTCTTTTACCTTTTAACTAAAAAATTGATTAAAAATCAGGAGATTAATAAAATTAAAATGTTGAAACTTCAATATTTTCAGAAAAATGAAATCTATAAAATGGCTATCTTCAATTTTTTTTTAAATAATAAATAAAAAAATATATTTTTTAACTTTTTTACCGAAACATAAAAAAAAATAAAACATGAATTATTTGTAGTGCTTATCTCCGGGAGTCTTAATAAAAAAACAGAATTATGATATCTACATTCTTTTAGGAGATATCGCAATGAGTAAATTCTCACGCGACACCCTGTACATAGGAAATGCTGGTAAATTATTTAAATACCGTATAAAAAAAACCAATTTAATAACTATTTCTTTTTTAGATATTTTAATTTAATTTTGTTACTTTAAGTATTACTTTTATCATTCATAATTATCCTATTAATATATAATACTTTTTTTAGATATTTTAATTCAATTTGAGTAGTATAAATATTATTTTCACCAAACATAATTATCCTATTACCTTAATAAATAATCAACCCGGTTTCATTAATATTTAATTATACACAATACTATTATAACATAAGTAATTACAATTGAAAAAGACAGTTACCTATTATTTATTTTGTATATAATATGAGTTTAATCGAAGTAATTCAATCTAAAATCAGTTTATAACTTTATTTACGATTGTTAATATTTTTCATTATTTTATTTTCATTAATAATGATTACTATGATTACATTTTAAATACATAGGTATATTATAAATGATAAACATAAATTTTATGATCAAAAATATTGCAGTGGTATCAATTTTCTCGTATATGTAAAACTCCAAAGTGTCAATAGCTCTATCAGTGCGTTTCAAGTGTCTTAGATTCAGCTAAATATACAATATTGTCGATACAGGATTTCTTTTTAGATTTTCAATCACGAGTAAGAATAAGCAATGTGTGATGACATTGCCTAATAAACTACTGAAATGATATAATATAATATACAATATCCTAGCCATTATGATATAATTATTTCCTCTTTTTATTAGAAATCGTTTTCGTTTCAGATGACACGTACGTTTTTATATTTGCCCACCAACTTGATCAGTGGATCAATCCTGCAGGCTCAAGGACATCCCCGATAAAATACGTCTACGGCGATACTACCCGTGTATACAGGGCGCATAGGTACATACACTGTACGAGTATTAAACGCATTTGCTCGAGGAAAATCTCAACGGAGATAGGACTATGTTATGTTATATATATTGGCGGTAAATTAAATCGCTCTAGCCACTGCACCGGAGTCGCCGCCGCGTGAATATTTTCCAGTAGATTTTTTTTTATTCGTCCTCTCTCGGGGTCGTTTTTACGATATAATATAATATTCGCTATTTATATAATATCATACATGTACATTGTACATATATATATATATATAATATTTAAGTATAAAGATAGCGGTGCGTAACACAAGGGCGAAGCCATTTATACGACCGGATGCAGTATAACAATAATAATAATAATAATAATAATAATAATAATAATAATAATAAGGTTATATACATGGCATATTTTCGTAATATTTTGTACGTACAGATATATACAAGTGGAGAATAAAATATGTGTATATAAAACCAATCCTCTGGTGGTGGTGGGCGAATGGTGGCCTGTTCGAATAATGTACTAGGTAAATCTTACACGGGGATAAAAAAAAAGAAAAAAAACATATCAGGTAGATATATCCTTAGCTTTAAACCGCGGTGGCTGTACGTACGCAGATAATGTTCTGCAGTACATAATATAAGTGCGTATTTTATGGTTCGACGGTCGTAAAAAAAGTTTCGGGAAAGGTTCAAAAACAATAATGATTGTTGACAGCGTTTGTTGGTTGGATGGGGTACATTTCGACGGTCCAATTGCGCCAATGTTTTATTGCTATATATATATATATATATACGTATACTGTTATTATTATTAATTATTATTAATGTATGTCATCGTGGGCCGACTGCTACAATAACAATTCAAATATCATGTTAATTAAATCGCGAAAATTCGAGGACGAAAATTACTATAATATAATATGTAATAATTCTTATATTAAAGCAAACAATATAAATTACAACCGACGACCGATATGAATAATATTATTATAACTTAATTTGTTCACCGGATTGACAAGACGTGAAAAATCGTTGATTTCAATTATATTAAATTATGTTTGAATATATAATAGTATAATACCTACTGCAGATTACATATTATTATACTATTATATTTACATTTTCGCAATTTTCGACGAATAATTTTAACTCAACGAATCGTTATATAATTAT